CGCCCGGCCGAGATGCGTCCCTTAGCTGCGGGGGCCCCCGCTCCTGAGGCAGGCAATAGGCCAGCCGGACTCTGCACACGCTCAGCGGTCTCCTCGGGCCATGTCCAGAGATGCGGGGGCCAGAATCATTTCTTGCTTTCGGAATGCTAGGTTGGCAGGAGCCGGGCCCAGAGACGGGAGCTCATTCCGTCATGCAGCACTCAGGTCTCGAACTGCCGAACTACCAACCTTCCGGTCTGCAGATCAGCTCCTTAATCACTGAGCACCTTACAGGCCCACAACATGTCCAGGGTAGGAGCTTGTGGGAGTCAAAACTCCCTTCGTTGGGTCTCCAAAGGGCTCCTGAACTCAGATCTGGCTCTTCTTCCATTGCAGTCAGCAGACGTGAATCCCCACGCACAGCCCAGGGCTTACAGGCCCACAACATGTCCAGGGTAGGAGCTTGTGGGAGTCAAAACTCCCTTCGTTGGGTCTCCAAAGGGCTCCTGAACTCAGATCTGGCTCTTCTTCCATTGCAGTCAGCAGACGTGAATCCCCACGCACAGCCCAGGGCCCGCTTTTGTGCTGGCCCCTTGCCGGGATCTTGGATCTACCACGGCATGTGCAAGGCTGTGTGCAGAACGGGTCCTTCCTCTGGGTGGGTCCAAATGTGTTCCCGGCCCAGCCACGATCCGGAGTACCTTGCATTGCTCCCCCCCCCGCCCCCACCCAAACGAACCTCTCCACCACGTGCTCCCCGCACTCCTCCCCCCAAGCAGTGGGAGGGCTCCTCGTGTCCTCCTGGCCCCACTGCTGGACCTCCTGACGGCCCCTGGTGTGTTTGGCCACCGAGTGACACAGGAGTGTCGGACTGGAGGGGCCACTGGCCTGATCCAACACGGGGGGGGGCTTCTCTTGTGTTCCAGCGGGCAGGTGTGCCCGTGTCCTCCTGGCCCCTCCCCCCCCTCTGGGGCCCCAGGCCTCCCTGGCACTTTCCTGGCCCGGGTGGGGGTGGGGCCGACATACCGGGTCTGGGCCCCTCGCTCCCTCCGAGTGGGCAGAGCCCAAGGGAGGGGGGGGGTTCCGGTCACCCCAGGGCCCTCCCGCCTCTGCTTCTGGCCAGCCCCTCTCAGGCCGGTCTGCAGAAGCTGCCCAGCCACCCAGTTGGCCGGCCTGCTGTGAAAGAGCCAGTGCCCCTCCCTGGGGGCTCAGTGGCAGAGCCTCTGCTTGGCAGGCAGGAGGTCCCCCCCCCGCCCCACACAGGAAGCGGCCTTCTACCCCATCCCCCCCCCAGGGTCCGGGAGGGTCAGTCCGGGCGACGCAACCTGGCACCCCCAGGGTCTCGGGCGGAGGGCTTCCACCTCGCCTCCTGCCTGGTCCCCGGCTGAACCGACCAGGGAGCTCCTGCCTGCCAAGCAGAGGCCCTGCGGCTGAGCCAGAGCGCCTCGTCTGAGCGGGGGGTGGGAAAGACCTCTGCCCGAGACCCTGGAGACTCGACAAGGCCGGCCTTCGTGGGCCCTGTGTGGGTCTGACAGGGGCCCCCGGGCTTTCTCCCTGGACCCTGGGTCTGAGGTTCAGGAGAAGGCAGCTTCGGGGGACACCCCCCCCCCTGGCACATGAGGCCGGGCGCTTCCTGGGCAGCCACACTCCCTCCTGCCGACATGGAAGGGGGTCAGCGCTAGGGGCACTGGCTGGCCCTGCCCTTATCCCAGGGAACACGACTCCCCCCCACACACACACACTCTGTGGGTCCCTGATTTTGGGCTCATCTGCACGCGCGCGCGCGCACACACACACACCAGAGTCTGGGGAGGTTGAGGTGAGCTCCAAGCAAGTGGCTGGGATGAGACCAGGAACCCTGAGCCCCCCCCCCAAGCTGGTGGCCCTCCTTCACCTTCCGCCTCGCAGGGTCGTTGGGAGGGCAGGGCGGGAGAACTGGGGGGTCTCCTTGGAGTGAAAGTGCAATAGATGGGGAGGACGGGTCCCTCCTCTGTGCTGAGGAGAAGTGTCATGTGCCAGCTGCTGCTTCTTTTTCTACCCCCCCAGCCCTCGCAGGTCTTCGCCTGAGGCAGGCCTGAGCCCGGGGCGCCGTGTGCAGGGAGGGCGGGGCGAGGGACCTGCCGACTTCAGCCCCCTGCTGGAAAGGGGGGCCCTTCGATCCCCCCCCCCAGAGGCTTTGGTCCTGGGAAGTGACGTTTCCCCTGCAGACGACGGCTGGCTTCTGCTGGGGGGGAGGGGGGGCTGCTGCCGGGGCCGGGGGAGCCATGCTCCCCCCCCAGACCTGAACCCAGTCTGTCCCGTGGGGCACCCGACGACAGCTCCGCCCCCACGGCTTCAAGCCCAGGTTCAGCGGCCAGAGAGCCACCCAGCCGGCCAGGAAGGCCGCCTTGCATGAGCCCCCTTGGAGAGTTCCTTGCTGAAGGCCGGCCCAGCCAGGGGGGGAGGGAGAGAGAGAGAGAGAGAGCCCCACCCTGGCAAGTCCGGCGGCACCCCTCGCCTGCCAGCCCCCTCCCCGCCCCCCTGGCAGCCACGGCTGGCAAGGCCAGGACCTTGGGCAGGGGGCCTGGCGAAACCCCTTGACTTGTGACTGAGGAGAAGAGCCCCGCCGGGCTGGATTGGTCAGGAGAGCCACTGCTCAGGGCGGGCCAGGGCACCACCCCCTATAAGGGGTGGTGGCCAGTGCAGGGCAGGGCGCAACACCACCTTTGCCAGCAGATCAGACCTGCCCAGCGGAGCAGATAAGGGCTGCCCTGCCGAGGCAGGAAGTGGGCTGGGGCGTGGGCCGCTTCGACCCACGTAAGCACACGTCTGAGTTGCACAGAACATTGAATCCGATGGAAAGAAGAAGAAAACAGTCCTGGGTCACTTAGCTGTGAAAGGAAGGAGTTCTTGCAACGTCTTCAAAGTGCAAGTGGCTTCAGGCAGGCGTCAGGGGCCTCATTCCCTCTGGGTCCTCCAGGCAGGGCCAGGCCTGCAGTTCTGCAGCCCAGGAAGCCAGTCCAGGGAGGGCGCCTTCTCGGGCACCCAAGTGGCCCCAGACTGCAGACCCCAGGTGGGGGGGGGAGGATGAAGTGGATCACCCTTGGTCAGCCTGCCTGTCCTTGCACCGGGGACGCCTCCTTGTCAGCAGGCCAATCAGAAGTAGGATGGCCAAGGAATGGTGGGGGGCACTGCCAGGGGGGAGGGGCTGGTCAGAGGGGCACGCAGAGGGTTCCCGAGATCCCTCCTCTCCCCAAACCCCACCCGGCTGTATCCCCCAATCTCCAGGGCTCTCCCAACCTGGAGCTGGCAACCCGAACATCCTGCCAGGCCTGGACTTTGGGAAGGGGGAGGTCTAGAAAACACCCCACCCAGGAAGGCGCTTTCACAGGATGGGGGGGCGGGCTGGGGAACAACGGGGGGGGGCTGCTGGGCCTTCCCTCCTGTTTCTGGGGTGGGGTCAGGTGCGGCCCTCTCACCGACCAAGAGATTCGGAGGGGGGGGACTGGCCCCCTCCTCCTGACAGCTGCTGGAGCTGTTGGTTTGGGGGAGGGGGGACCGGGCGCTGATGGTCAGCATCACAATGATGCCCCCCGCTGGTTGGTGGGCCTTCACTGACCCCCCCCCCCGGCTTGGGGGAACTAGCAACCCTAATTCCCCTCCATGGCATGGCTGGCGCAGGAAGGGGGCAGTATCAGTTTGCAAAGCCCCTCTTCATGGAAGCCAGGAGGAAGGCGCAAAACGAGAGCGGTGGTGGGGGAGGTCTCACCCAGCATTGCAAGCGCCCAGCATTGCAAGCGCAGAGGCAAAACCTCGCAGGGAGGGGAGGGGAGGGGAGGGGCTACACCTCTTTAAAGTCATAGACCTGAAAACCAACCCCTCAAAAAACCAAACAAGCACGGAGGGTCAGCCAGGCGAAATGGCCAAGTCTTCCCCCATGCTAGAGGTGGGTGGGGACACCTTGACCTCGGTGCTGCCACCAAGGAGGCCCTTGCTTGGCTCGCCGCCAGTCCAGCCTCAGAGGGTGGGGGGCGCCTGCAGCGCCCCCCCCCCAGAGGACCACTTGTATGGGAGCAGGCGCTCCGTCAGGCCTCGGAAGCAGGTGCCACCTCAGGGCTCAAGGCCTGCCGCTGCCCACCGGTTTCAGCTCTCTCCCCTGTCCCCGACCCCGGGCAAGGCCTCTTCTCTCAGCAACCCCTCCCCCAATATGCAGCTAAGGGGGCTGTCCTACCCTCAAGGGTCGTTGTAAGAATGAAGAGAAGCGAGTGTCTGCGAAGTGCTTCGAATGCTTCAAAGCACCAAATGAACGCTCAGAGGAAGGCCTCGGCCCCAGTGGGCAGGAGGCTCTGGGGGGCGAGGAGGGTCCAGAGCTCAGGCTAGCGGGGGTGCCGGGGTGTGTGTGTGTGGATTCTGGGGAGGCCCTGGAGGGGACGGTGGGGAACGCGGTACGGAAGCCCTGGAGAATGGTGGGGAATGGGGCTGCCACAGGGGGAAGGGGGGTCACCGGAAGCCACGGCCGGTGTAAAGAAATGGTCACTGTGGGGAGCAAGGGAGGGGCTTCCCATGGCAACGGGATTGTGAGGGAAGCAGGCCCTGGGCCAGCAAAGGTTCTGGTGGGTCGCCCCGTGGCGGTCTGGAGCAGCAGAACAGAGCCTGAGGCCCAGTCCGGCCCCGCTGAGACCGGCAAGGCTGCTTGGTCCCGTGTGCACCCACCCCTCTTCTGCACACCGCAGTTGGGACCCGGTGGTGGACTGGGGGGAATGGAACGCGGTGGGGCAGGGCTTGCCAACCTACAGGAGGGACAAGGGGTCTCCAGGACAAGACGTCTGGTCCCCTGGAGAAAGTGGCTCTTGGGGGGGGTGGACTCTGCCTCCCCAAACCCTGCCCATTCGACGCTCCATCCCCAAGTCCTCAGGAGCTTCCCCAGCCTGCTGGAGTTGGGAAGCCTGGGGGGGGGGGGGACACTGAATGGGGAATGGAACTCAGCAGTGTGTCCCCCCCCCTCCAACCAGTCCCCACTGTGAACTGTGCCCCGGCCGGCAGGGCACGGGGGGGGGGTGGCAGCCAGAAGACATTCAGCACCCCTGACCACCTGTTTCTGTGCTGAGGGTACTCAGACTTGTTCCTGAGGACTGACTGTCCAGTTTGCCTCACCGAAGGCTGGCCCGGTCACCCCCTCCTGTCCTGCGGAACCTCCTCCCACTGGAGAGGGCAAGAGGCCTCCCTGCCTCAGGGACTCCTCCTCCGGCGCCTCCCGGCCAAGGCCCCCTCCTCTGAGCCGGGGAGTCTTGTGAGCAAAAATGCTGCCTTGCGAGCGGCTGGCATGAAAGTGGTGAGCGAGCGGTCGGGCTGCTGCATCAATCCGTCTGCTCTTCTGGAGCCCATCCCCATCCCTCCTGAGCCAGGGCGAAAATGGGTGAGCCGGAGGCTCAAAACCTGTGAGCGCGCTCCCACGAGCTCAGCTGAGAGGGAACACGACTCCCCACCAGTCCTGCTCCAGGCGCCGCTGCGGACCAAGGCCTCCCACTCTGGCCTGGCCAAGCGGCCGCAGGAACGGGCGAACCCCCGGGCTCGGAAGGGCTCTTTGGGTCGCCCCCCCCGGACTAAGGACCGGCCCGAGCCCCCCTCCCGGACCACCCGGGGGCGCCCTACGGCAGGCTCGCCCCTGCCCCGCCCTTCGCCCCCGGAACGCCCGGCCACTGGCCGCCGGCCAAGCGGGAAACCTCCGCCCGGGGCCCTTCGCCTGCCGCTGCGGCCCGGCCCGGCCCGGCCCAGGAAGGAAGAAGGTCACGCCAAGGTCAGCCCGGCCGCTCCCGTCCGAAGAGGGGCGCCGCCGGCAGGCCGGGACAGCAGCAGCAGCAGCAGCAGCGGGGCCCCCCCCCCGCTTCGCCGCCCGGCCGGCGGCTCGAGTTGCCGGCGTGTCCTTTCGGC